AGGGTGTAGTTTCTGTGTTAATATAGTTGATTGCTATTGATTTTTTTTTTATTTTCCAACTTCTATTTAGTGGCTATAACTAGTATGGATTAATCTAGTTTCAGAGTTCATGCTTACAATAATTCTCACAAACATATATGTATGATTTAACATCTGATCTACACAGCTTTTTGGTGTTCATTGTAATATTTTTTCGAAAATAACATGGTATTACGGGCTAAGGTAATCTTTACTCTTTAAAAAAGAATTATGAAGTATCATTTATTCACATCTACGCTTATTGTAAAGCTGAAAAATTTGTATGAAAATATTTTTTTTTGCGTAGGATTTGTTCATTTATCGAGGAAGGCATATCATTAACGTTACATGCTTGTAAATACGGACACACACCATAATTTTCGTTGAGTTAAAAATTTAATCCAAACTAACACATGAATATGAAAGTAACTCTGCATGTCTGTCTGTCTTTTCTTCACGCCTAAACTACTGAACCTATTTGTGTGAAATTGGTACAGATATAGTTTGGATCTCTAGAAAGGACATAGGATAGTTTTTAAACCAAAAATCTGCAGGAAGTTACTAATCCACGCGAACAAAGTCGCTGTCAAAAGCTAGTATAAAATTAAAACATTAATATATCCATGTTCGATTTTGGAACATCCTTTTAATCCTTCAGAATTGACCGTTCGACCCTGTATAATAGTTAATTCAAAGTTGTATGCAGCGCAAAATAGTACGAAGAACGTCATATAACAATGCAGGTCGCCTGTATTATATACATACATATGTAGGTATATGTATATGTACACAACGGTACAATAGGTTCCTTTTTACTACTCATTTGATTAAAATGTTTGTTGAGTCCTTGACTGTTTTCTATGTTTTGTGTTTTGTAAGACTACCTAATGTCATATTGGCTTGATTTTCTTTACTATATTGCTAGTATATTAATATAATGCTTAATATATTAGTATTGATGAGAATACGTATCGAAACCTGGTTAGTACTAAAAATAATTCTTTCGAGTTAAATGTACTTCCTAAGATTATTTAAACACCACTGACAAGCAGTGAAGGAAAGCTTCTGGGAAACCTGGACTTCTAATTCCTAATTAGGAATTTGAAATCGTTTATCTGATACGAGCTTGCGTTGATTAATACTCATACCTTCTGTGTGACAAGAGACCTTTATTCAGCAGTGGGACTGGTGGTTTGTAAGACAGAATTTCAATTTCTTCTCTTTCATATTTCTCACTCAAGAAGGCGAATTAGCAGTCCTATCTCAAGTTGGAAGGTGATCAACACTGCCCTTGGATACTAATACCAGATGAAAATATCACGTACGTTAGCCTCAAACCAAACTAATATTATAAATGCGAAAGTAACTCTGTCTGTGTGTCTGTCTGTCTTTTTTTCACGCCTAAACTATTTGTGTGAAATTTGGTACAGACATAGTTTGAAACTCGACAAGGGACATAGGATAGTTTTTATACCAAAAATCTGCAGGAAGTCACTATTCCACACGAACATAGTCGCGGGCATAAGATAGTATCAAAATAAAAATACTTTTCAAAGTAAATAACGAAACTAAACAGTACAAGCGAGAAGCAGTTGAGACTACAATCAGTCAACAGGACAGTAAACTTCTTAAGAGCTTCTTAGTAATCAATGATATGAACAATAACGATGACAAAACACCCTCAAGTGGCTCCAGAAGATATACCTTCACTTCAAAAATGTTGATAACTTAAAATACTTTACACATCAGATGATAAGCTTAAATAAACAAGATGAATGCTGTGTTTATTGCGAAAAGCAATTCGATCTTTAATGGCCGCAAAGAATAGTGGCTTTCATATGAAACAAATACCTATTAAATAAAATCTGATCAGACATGGTTTTAGAAATTTAAATGAAATTTGCACATACGGCTTCCCATGGAAGCGCCATAATATACCGCGACAATGGCCCGAAGTGGTGGTTTTTAGTCAGTAAGAATCTTCAGTATTTTTCATATGTTGCAAACGAGCAGACGGATTACCTGATGGTAAGCAATCAGCGCCACCAATGGACACCCGCACCAATAGAAGTATAACGAGTGCGTTGCTGACCTTTTAGGAATTTAGGGATTGCGGGAGGGGAAGGATTGGTCACATCCTCCCCTCACGCCCAATTCAAGGCGAGACAATACATTTGATGATTTATTCTCCATCAAAAGAACTCCTAACGTATCGGGTATAATCTATACTAATATTATAAAGAGGTAAAATTTGTAAGTTTGTATGTAGGGGGTAATCTTTGGAACCGCTGGTTGGATTTCCAAAATTCTTTCAAATAGGCTATACAACATCACGCTACCATTAAATGGAGCCGAGCAGCGGGTAAAACCGCGCGAGAGCAGCTAGAATAATAAAATATTCATCTTATATTGAGTCTGTGATACTTCTGTTAAGCTGTAATAGGGTAAAAAAGCAAACATATTATTCCACAACTCCGCATATATCACATCCGAATATATTACCCACAAGGGACTTAGTGGGTTAGGAATTACTTTACCAGATACCCTAAAAGAAAGTGATCTGTGGTTTGCCACTTATAATAATTTGGCGATATCAAAACTCATAATTTGAGTTTGTTCACGCGGTTTTCCTTAATCATACATTATGTCAGTAGTATCTAGATCTTAGAAAGCATACTAAACTTGGGAAACACTACATTGGTGCTTGCCAAATAAATGATATTTCTTTGTGTCATCTTACTTTATTATTATTAAAAAAAAACGTTGCTCCACATTAGGTTTTTCTCCTGTATCGTGGGTGCGTTTACAAACATACAATTCCACATGCACATCACACCCAGACCCTGAACAACAATTTGTGGATGACTAAGAGTTGTTCTGTCGGAAATCGAACCGCGACACTTTAGCCACGCCAGCGCGCCAACCGTGCAGTCAAAATGTCTTATTCTTTCTTTCCATTTGAATTAGCGATTGTTTATCATATAGGTACTTATTAAGAACAGTTATGAACTTACGGATTTCTTTTTAAAATTATGTAATTTAGGGTGTGTAAGCTAGCTAAGCCAGAATAACCATTCTCAAGGTTAAGCAGCATTCATGGATACTACTCTAAAAGATCGTGACTACTTGAGTTGGACATCACGGCAAAGGGTCAAGGTTGTCGTAATGTCGTAGCGCAGTTTTATGGTGCTTGTTATATTATTTATTTATTTCTATTATACATATAGGATGGTCGGTTTGGGCCTACGGTAACCTACGGAAACAACGCTGTGGTTATTTCACTTCACGCTGGTTTTCTGTAAGGCCGTGGTATCACTCCGGTCGAGCCGACCCATTCACGCCGAAGCTTGTTTCTTCCATACTTAACTAATTGTCTTTATGAATCATTCTTAAAAGGCTCTCTTAGAACAATAAGTGGCGTTGACGCCAATATTTCTACCATTCCTTCATATAAAAATAAATGTCAATGAAAAAATTAGCTCCATTTTTTAACTAACAATGCGACCAATTTTTTTGCAGATTTAGCCAAAATCTTACTAGATAAGTCATTTTAGTAGTAGTATTACTATGTAAGTAATTAACGACGAAAGCAAGTATACATGCAACAAATGCAATCTTTGAATGACACAATAACATTTTTATAAGTCATACAGTTAAGATAAGAGTCACGATACTGTTAAAGATTAAAGATAAGAAAGAAACCAATTTCTCTGCGGCCGACACCTGCAGACTGTCCTTACTTCGGCCAGAAATCCACTTGATTGTGTCATACATTTTCTGACTTTTCCTTGTCGCTGTTGTAATAGAGAAAAAAGATTACATACATACGTAGATGTATGCGTGTAAAGATAAGGATTCGTTGATTCGAAATTCGCAAACTTGATTTTGAATTTGAAAATAGAATAATGGTATTGTTTTTTTTATTTTTTCTTCTTTGTGTGCGTTGGCTTGGTGATGTGGACTGGCTAGTGCCATAAGGACAAGATTAAAAGGAGTAGAGTAATAAACTAAACAGGAGCGAGGTTATGTTAAAAACGGACAGGAAAGCTATTTTGACGTTACTCACTATATCATTCATTTTCAATAAAACTATTTCATATAAAAATCACATAATAGCATATCATCAGTCTTATTCTACTTATATCTACCACAACTGCTGAGAAAAAGGATCTACCCATAAGAAAAAGGTATGAGCAGGCACCAAGCCCGCTCAATAGCTTTGCGATTTCAAACTTTTAAATTTTTAATAAATTATTTACTTTAGTTTTTTCACGACGGCATTAGAACAAATATAACTTTGTAACTACTCAGGTTTTGAACCTCCTCATGCATAAGGAGCAACAATTGATCTGAACATAGACACATGATAAAATATTGATCTATTTTAAGAATTAGTAATACCGAAAATTACTTCACTACGACCGCAGCTCTTGACCTTCAGCGCATGTGATACCTATATGAATACATAATCTTATTTTTAAATGTATTACATTACTAACGATAGGAACGGAGTACAATTTGGCAGTAGATTTTTAATGAAATCTGCACCGGTATTGACATTATTGCTCGTTTTCTCCATACGGCCGAAAGACAAACTATTCTATTATTTTTTATTTTGTAAAAGAATTGTGGTATTAAACTAAATACTTTATAAGTAATTTTTATATTTTTCTTCGTAGATTTTACGACAGCAATTGAATTAAATTATTCGATTTAGTGTAGCCATTGTAATGTTTTGCCTCAAACCCATTCATTTATAATAAAAGTAATAGTTCTCAAATGAAAACAAATGAAAAAGTCAAATAAATATATGAAATTGATTAAAACATTTCCAGTTAATCACGATTTGACCCTTTCATAAGAAAAACCAAGATAGACACATGACACATCACTATAAACACCATAACACCACAACGACTTCCATCGACAATACGCGTGGGCGACAATTAAAAGAAAAAAAAATTAAATATGGCCGAACTCACCATTTTGCGTTCCGTATCAGAGTAAAGACACGATTGTACTGAACAAAAATATTACTCTTTTACTAAAATAAATATATATTTGCGATAATATTATTATCATTTTCTTTGGCATCCAATTGTAATGACACATCCAGTGTAAGTTGATCTTGTGTTATGTCAGATTACAGTACAATTCACAGCTCAAGTTATGGATTACGATGTGGTTATCTCTTTTTTGATACACGATTGTACTGTAGTTGTAAATATTATTGTTTTGGTTTTAAACTGATAAATAGTTATTTCTCCATTACTTGTGAACCATTCAACAGCAAAATAAACGTTAAGAATTGATTTTATGAAAAATATATAATATTTATGGTTTCGTCCTGGGTATTTCTTTAGAAGCTTATACTATAGGAGACTGTATCAGTATGAAAAGTAATATTGTCGATGGAGAACATTTACAAATAGTATTCTTGAAGTCTTTTCAAGAAATTGTATCTAAAATATTCTTTATAATATACCCAGGTAAGTTTAACATTATGAATATCAAAACAAATCACGTTGTTGAAACGACATTACTCAAAAAGGTATTGATTTTGAACACTATTCTAAATACGAATTTGAATTTTAACGGTTTTTATTGACATTTAGGTATCTTCATTGTTGTTAAATAGAAGCGTTGGTTTCGTTCTTTATTTAAAATATTGACAATGAATTACATGATTCTAGATGTGGTACATTTTAAAACTTGGCCCACATTAGTATTTTCTGTATGTGTTTATGATGTATGTATGAAATAGTGATATGTATGTGACATAGGACGAAAGAATTGAATGGGGCAAAGTTTATTAAAAAAAATGCGCGTACTTTTAACATATGTCGGTCGTGCGTTGGTTTATTTCCTATAAAATATTAATTTGTATTACAAACTAAAACAGCCTTTATAATGTTTAATAGATTATGAAGGACTCTTAGAAACAATAACATGGTTTGGTGTTATATTAAAAACAGATGTTTTGTTCTAACATTTGCTTTTAAACTAAACATCGTTAGTAAACTATTCACTGTTCATTTTATTATGCTAACTGGATTAAACCTGATCTCGTATTGACTATGTTTACCAAGCATTTATATTTACATACTTTAGCATGTTTGAATAATGAATGTTAGAATCAGACTTAGTACCAGCTTTAAAAAGATAGGACTTTTTAAATTTTGATCAATTATAAGAATTTTCTAATGGTTTTGTAAGTACGTTTCCAAGGACATAATATCACATTCAACACACACACAGACTGGAACAATAACTTGTGATTACACAAAAGAAGAATTCTCCAAAATATTCTTTGAGAATCTCAGATTGGGGTAGATTTGATTTGGTCCAATTTAACCCCACAAAGACAGCGTATTTACCGCTTAAAAACTGCCGCTCGTCATACTTAGTTTCAGAGCACCTCCAAATATTATTGGAATACTAGATGCCAACACAACAAACATAAAGTCCAGTTCGCGGTCATCTAGCTAGGAGATAAGGTATTTCTTTTCTGCTAGACGTTGTATAGTGGTCAGTCGCCTATCCACCACAACAGCTTTGCAGACCAGATAGTAAAGAAAAACACACAATTCGCCAATTTTTTTGGCAAAAAGTGCAAAAAAGCATTGATATAACAAAAAAGACGTTCACTAACCACAACAAAACAAATATGTTGTAATTACTTCAATGATCCTCATCCTACACTCCTGCGCAGTCAATTAACTGAGTTCAATGTAAACATTAGTTACGTAGCTGTTGCATAATGATCTTAACCGACACAGCTAAAGATATACCAAACATTGTGCCATCTAACCGAGTGACCTATTTCTCGGCTTCTTTAGATAATCTTCAGCGACAATTAAAGATAAGATGCTGGTGTTAGCCCGCGTTGATTATTTTCGTTCGTAATTTTGTTAGAGATATTGTTTAGTAATGTTTTGGGTTCTTGGTATAAATATCACCCTTACTCAGTTGTGCGTTCGCAGAATTTTAGAGATTGCTTGATTTTGGTAAGTATAGGAAGTGAACCTAGAAAGTTTTTTTTTTTATTATTTATTAAAAAGGTTTACCAACAGCTTCTGTGTAGATAACACTTAAAGTACATTTTTTACATTACTAGGACTTACACAGTTGCCAATTATAGGTTAACCAACATTCCCAAAATAATGATAGGATAAGTACATACTAGCAGAACTAAAATGAGTAACAAGTATCCAATATTAGAGAACTGTACCAAGCTATGCAAAAAAGCCGAATAAAATATATATAATAAATAATATATATAAAATAATAAAATATGCCGAAAGTTCATTATGAAGGAAATGAAAACGTGTCACGACATTGATTTTCTCTTTGACAACATTAAAATAATCCATACTTACCTATTTGAAATCAATAGGAAAACATTCAAAGTTACTAAGCGTGATTTAACTTACAATAATTTTAACATGTCTTATGAAATTTATATTAGGTACACCAATTAAGATGCGTTTAAACATCACACTTGATGTCAATGTTATACTAGAAGCTTCCGCAAAGAGAACTGGAATGGTTTCATCAGATGTTAAAGAAATGGAAAGTGTAGCGGAACAGGTTTCATTCACTGCACACCTTACTAGGGACGAGACACTGCACGAACTGGATGATGCACTTGCATGAATGCCTTTATGGTTTAAGTATGCAAGTAAAAGAAATATGGTATATAGACACTTAAATGTTGTCTATGTAGACCTAAGAGTAATTGTAATGTTATTTTTAATGGGATATATTGGCAAAAAGCTGTCTTCAGACTTTAGCAATCTGGTGATCTTGATGATGAAAAATGATAATTTATAGAATCAGGCGTTACTTTGCGGAAATCCATGACATTAAATGTTAGGGAAAATATTTAGTTATAATTCCGCGACAAAAATCCAGGCTTGTTGCAGGATGCAATCCCACTCCTATGCAATCATGCATATGCACATGCAGCAAGGGTCCCACCCTCCCGCCCACATGCACATGCACACATACACAAAACGGAAAAACATGCCTCGACGAGCGCTCGGCTGCGAAATTCGCAGCCGAGCGCTCGTCGAGTCAACATCTCCTGAGGATGCCCTGTGGAGGGGCGAAACACGTGTCGAGTATAGGTTTGATTGCGTGGCATGTTTTTCCGTTTTGTGTATGTGTGCATGTGCATGTGGGCGGGAGGGTGGGACCCTTGCTGCATGTGCATATGCATGATTGCATAGGAGTGGGATTGCATCCTGCAACAAGCCTGGATTTTTGTCGCGGAATTATAACTAAATATTTTCCCTAACATTTGATGAAAAATGAGCAAAAGCCATGGGCATTTGCAACATAGAGGAGTGATAAGTAATTTGTCGGACTTTTGGACAGTTACAAGTTGTGAGGGTTGGACGATTTCGTGATTGGGAATAGGAGGTGAAATATTGGATCTCCGATAACTTCACCTGTAGAGCTAAACACAACGCAGGGGTAATTTGCGCCTGACGCTTATTTGCAATTTGACTTCGATCACGTTATCATTTTTTTGGGCAAACACTAGTCCTTTATTGTGATTAGCATCTTCATCTTTATTTTCATCAGCCTCACATGAACATCAAAATCCTCTAAATATGGATAATTCTTTTGGATACTTTTTCAATAAAGTTCTATGATACACAATCATATAAACTTCAGATCAAAACTTGTCGGTTAAACCAAGTCTAAGCAAGCCAGACCAAATACTAGTCTAGATATATTGATCATATCTAGAATGTCTAGAATACTAGACCGAGTTTCTCTAATTTCTCTTTACTAGCCTATCCTCATAGTTGGCAGTCACATCTAGTTTTTTTTAACACTCAATGGATTCTGGAATGAAGAACTCATTCGATTATACACCATGAAAGTAATTAAATGTTGAAAGTTTGCGTAGATGATTTGATTAGAAAACTTATTGTTTGCGTGAATGAACTTAATAATAAGTAGCCTTTGAAGTTTAAATAACCCTTTATATTGCTAAAACGCACACAAAATATCAAACAGTCACTAAGATATTTGGAATAATTTCTTGAGAAGCTTGTAATGTTCATTTCAATTCCAAAGAAAAAAGAGCCAAGAAATATATTTTTATCATGACAAATTTTCGTATCGATACTTAAAAAAATTAATTGCTGACTTAAAATTTGTACTATAAACGGGATTCAAATATATATTTGATGTTGAAAAGGATCACGATGAAATATTAATTATTATTTATAAACTATTTGTTTGCCAGAACGTACTCGTGGATGTAAGCAAGACATCGTATTTTCTATTATTTCTCATATACCAGCGAGATGAGAGGTTTATCCAAATAATTGTGTTTTAATGCAGTTTCTTGCTCGTTCTAGCTTCACTGACGAACAGGTTGACAGACTACTGTTCTACTTTGACGGTTTAAAAGTACCTACTTATGGTTTAGTAGGAATAAATGATTCTGATGAGATTTGTCTAGAGCCCAGTTTTTTATGGAAAATTAAATACCATCCTTAGTCTACATTCATAGTCTTCGGCGCCTTAATCAATGAAATATCTACTATGGAAGCTATAACATCCATTTGTCCCCCCCTTTTCCTGACTCATAACGACCTGTCTAGCCTCGATCGCTTTAGAGGGGGACACGCAAACCACTTTAGACATTATGACCATGCCATGGAGTTCAGTCTGCAAGGGCTTTTTATTGATTTTAGTCTGACTGTTATTTTAAGGATATTTTTGCGTTTGAAATGCGTTTGGTATACCTAGTCCATTTGAACTTATGCTTTGGTACTCCTAAAACTTATACTGCGATGGCAACCCTTTTGACATGGGTATGCAGTCATCTTGTCACGTCTGTTTGGTTTTAGTTCTTTAAGTATTTATTTATTTTATTAATTTGGTGCTATGTATTGTTTTTAAAGGCAGTGACTTATCATTATTGTATATTATTTTTCAAATCTTTCTTTTACTGAACATGCCAAAGTACTACTATAAACATATGTCTAATAATATGTTTATAGTACCTTGGCATGTTCAGCGGCAAATGAATGATTTTTCTGTCTTGCGAATGATAGCTACTAAATTATAATATTAATTAAGATATTGAAAATG